CTCTCTGTCTCTCTCTCTCTCTCTCTCTCTCTCTGTCCCTGTCTCTTTGTATATATACATGGCAGCATGTGCACATGTGTGTATGCATACGTGGTGGCAACAGGCAGATAGGGTTTCTTTCCTCAATAATACATATTCCATTTTGATTCAGAAGACATATGCCCAGTGAATCTAGGTTCATTGATCTGTTATTTTGTTGAGGCAATGTGCTCAGGGATCTCCTTTTATCTATCCCCCAGAACTGAGATTACACATTTGTACTTTTATACTGGTATCTATGTGAGTGCTGGGTATCCACACTCTTTTTCCATGATTACATAGCTGCAACATTGCAGACTGGGACATGTATGGCCCCCATTCTCAAAATTGTTTCTATATTCCTAGTGCCTCATTATCACTTGGTTAGAGCAGTGGTCAAACCCATATAAATGCAGAAAATATAAGACAGCTTGTTCTAGGTCTTCTGTGACATAAAACACTTCTCATAGGGCTAGTGCTTCCATTCTAGATAGCTGTAATGGCTACCCTGTTTCAACTACTCAGTAACATTGCTATAGAAACTATTCTCGGTTTTCCAATGATGTATGCTTCCCTAGGTAAATATTTGGTAGATATTAAGTATATAGTCTCAATGCAAGTGACAATTTTTGCCCACAGTACTTTTGAGAAGGGAGAGGGTATAAGAACATATGTGCATATGCTTTTGATGTTTAGATGCCAGACTTTGTTACTGAGCTCTGGGGATTCACCCAAGTATGTCTCCCCAGTGCTATGTGCCAATAGAGCTGGATTTTTACAAGTATGTTAGAAATCAAAACTAGATCTTTATGCTTGCAAAGCAACTATGTTACTGATTGTGCTGTCTCCTCAGCAACTGGAAAACAGTAAGATTGCAGTGATGATTAAGAACTGATGATTTAAGGAAAAAGAAATCTGACACCTTGGCCTACCTTATTCTTGTATCAATCTTTGGTAGAACAATGGAAGCTGTACATTCTTCTGTTCTGTGTATTTGTATGTGCTTCCATATGTGTATATATGTACATGCCTATATATCTGTTTGTGTGTTTTTTATGTCTTCATAGAAATGTTTTTTTCTTTTATGTCAACACGTATACATGAGGCTTTGTCTGTGTGTATGTTAGGAGTAGATAGCTGGGTTAGAAAATCAGTAGAAAGATGCCAGCACAAAAAGGCATTTCAATTACCATGACACTAACAACTAAGTTCTACCTATTTGCTCTTTAATACACTTGTCCAACACTGTATGCACACTCAAAGAGTAAAGAAAAAGATGGCTGTGAGTGTCTTATACTTATGTTCCCAATGATTTTCATTCTACATATACTGACAGGTATACAGGCAATGAGTAAATCAGAGACATTGATCTAACTTCAGGAAGCAAGGCTAACAATGGAGGCCAAACTGTGTGGACACAGTTATTTCTTGCTGTAAATAGCTGGGATAATAATCTATTACCTTAATCACATTGTACAGTCATGGCTAGAAATATTAGAGAGAATTCAATCACACTTCTCGACCTATTACATTATGTGTGCTTTCATGAGTTTTAATGAAAACACAGTCTGCTGGCAAGCAGAGAGAATTGGAGTTTCATAATAGCCAGGGAGTAAGATTAAAAGACTACAAAGGTAGATTGAAAATGGATTAGGAACTGTTTGAGAATGGAAAAGATGTTTTGACTAAGCATTTTCTGCAAGTTCCCTGCAACTCTTGTCTATTGTCCTACGTATGTGAAACTGGCATTGGTTCTATCGAGATAGGAAAGGAATGTGTGTTTTGAGTGACTCTCCATAAACAACTTTGCAAATAAGTATGCAATTTACTGAGCAACAGAAAAATTGTGCAGTTGAGAAATTAATATATTTTAATAGGTAGTCAGGTATCTGTTAACAATAAAAAATTCACAAATTGACTACAAACTGAGTTCTAAGAAAAATGTTTTAATAATGCACAAACTGACTACAATCTGTGATTTAAGGAAAATTTCAGAGATTCTCAATCTAACTGTGTTTCATCCAGACAGGTTCTTCAAAAATGCTTCTCTCCAGATTCCTAGAGTCATGGAAATAGCATGGCCATTTAGAACAGGTAAAGACTTTACTGCATTATATCTCTGAGGAAATCTGTCTTAAGAATTCAAATCCTATATTGGCTAATTGACATTCATAAAGACATCAACAATAAACCCTGGTGTTCAGGTCATACTTTCTGTATGACTTTGCTACATATTTCACAGCATCACAAGTCACTCAAATTTAACCAGGAAGATTTAAGATTTTCAAAATTATGGCTCATCCTTGTCCTTCATTTTGGAAATTCCTATCTATGATCATCTAAACTATCAACTCAGTGGTGTTAGAGCAGTAGTAAGGGTCCATCACGGAAAAGCTTTGGGGCAAAAGAACATAATCTCTGGGTTGGCTGGAGTTTAACCTTTCAGTAATCTGGGTCAATTGCACAGGAAAAGAACCACCTGTAAGTAGTCAGGTTCACCTTAAGCCATGAATTTCTCATACAAATTTTCTTCCATATAAGATGGAGTACTTTTATAAAGTATTTGCTTACCATTTTTTCTGGTAGAATTAACAGAGATAATATTTGTAAGCTACAGCTGAATTGCCTGAAATGTCTGAATTCACTAGTAGTTAGTAGCCCTTCCACAACTCCTGGATACATGTCAGAGTTGTTACTCAGCAGTATTTGTCTCCTTTGCCTTCTATTGTAGCCAAAATACATCATTGTTCAATATTATTGACCAGGGCAATTTGCTTCTAAACCATTTAGAAGCTTAGGACACATGAATTTAATGACTAAAAAGTCACCAAGTTAACCTAGAATTCTGTATTTTTACTAAGAACCTACATGTGAGTAATGTTTTGAAAAGAATCATGACTCATTGAGAAGCCCAGTCCTAGACTAGATTGCTGTGCAGAACTAGGTAACAACAAACACATTAAGCAACACAATTTATAATCCTGCTCTCATGCCACTACAAAGTAATTAACATATAGCTAGTCCTCACTGTATGAAGTACTATAGAGACTAAAATAACTAGCACTTTTTGCAGCCAGAGTCTACGTCTTTGAATTCAGTTAGGAAAATGAGGGACATGCCTTGTCATGACTTCTTGCAGTGATGCCATTGCATTGAGTCTGCAACATCTTACGATCCTGTTCTAAGTTTTCTTTGATATGAATATCCAAGGTGTAATGTCTTTGCATATCCTTAGTGTATTGGATATTAACTGGCTAGAAATACCTCAGTAAGTATGCTGCCTCACTACAGGGAAGACCAGAGCACAAATATTAAGATATGAGGCCTGACTTTGCTGCTTTATTCATAGTATACCCTGCATTCTTCCCCCCGCCTCTGTTTCTTTTTTTCTCTCTATCTCTCATCTCTCTCATTCTCTCTCTCTCTTTCATCTCTCTCATTCTCTCTCTCTTTGCATATGCCTGTATGTGAGAGAGATTGTGTGTGGGGGGTGGGAGGGAGAGAGAGAGAGAGAGAGAGAGAGAGAGAGAGAGAGAGAGAGAGAGGAATTTCCCAATTACAGTGAATCATGTTAGGACTGCTTACAAAGCTACATGTTTAAAAACCTATATTAATGTTTGGCACTGTGGAATTGTACTATAGAATACATTAACCATCAAATGACATCATTAAACATTTATTTTATTCATGACAAGTGCACATGTACACAAATGTGAATCTTAGAAGTCAGAGGAGAACATATGGGAATCTTGTTGGAGTCAGATTTCTCCTTCCAGGTTGTCAGGCTTAGGGATTAATCTCAGGTCATCAGGCTTAGTAAAAAATGCCTGTATCTGGTCAACTGATGTTCTCTTCAGATGTCATTTCTAAACCTATATAACTGATTTATAAAGAAGTTACATGTTCTCAAGGTATTCCATATAAAACACATATTCTTGATGATGATGGTGATAATGATGGTGGTGGTAGTGATTTGCAAGGGAATTACAATTTCCAGAAAAGGCAGCTATACCTACATTGACTATTATACAAAGCTAATTGATTGAATAAAGATTTCGTGGGCAATCTTGGCACATTTAACAGTGGTTTATTGCCAATTTCTGTGCATAACCTAATGATAGTATGACTATCTGGCAATTTCTCTTGAAATGGATGAATAGACTTCTAAGTTTATTAATTTACAGGTCAAGAAAATCATCCAATAGCATGTGAGGTTCTGCTTGCTATAACTCCCTCAACCGGTGGAGGACTAATATATAGAAAAGTATGTTGACTTATAACTGCCACAATAAAATCTTCATGAAATCATTAGTAAGACAGAACAAGGAATTTGCAGTTTTAACAGAGCTATAGACTTGATAAATATTACTGTCATTAAAGCAACACTAAGTTTATGTCCTCATGCCATGGCTGTCCTATAGAATAAACTATATCTTAGTAATTTTGAGGTAAAAGATGTTTTTAGGTCCTCACTAGCTGGTCAAACAGTGCTGATTATCTGTGACCCACACAGCTACTTGGTGTATAGTCATCTCATTCGAATTTCATTGAGAAACAAATAAAGCTCAAGATGGATACACTCAGCTAGATACACAGTCCATAGAATCATATGTGAATGGAGTTCCCCTTTGTGAATAAGGACATCCCATTGACTTTTATGCCTTGTTTTTGTGCTTATTTTTTCCATTTCCATTTCATTTTGTTGTTGGGCTTTAATAGAGAGACTGTCTTTTCTCCACCCTATAGAAAACATTGATAATTCTTTCCTCTTTCAGAGAATAGTATCATGACCACCAAGATCCCTCTACTTTTTGTCTTGAAAATAACTAAGATAATTCCTATTATTTTTCAAGATAGTATTTCTCCCATTAACCTAGTAGGTATTTGTACACTCTGTATACCTTTCACCTTTCCAAAAACTCTCTTTTATCTCATACCACCAGATACCTAGGTTAAGTAGGCTTAGAAAACATAGCTCTTACCAGTAACATTGCAGTAGACCTGGAGTGGTCCCAGTGGGCCGCTGCCATCAGAGTCAACATAGAGAAACCCAGCTGTGTTCCCTCTGTGTCTGTACACCTCACAGGATTGCTCATAGATGGCTGGAAAGACACAAAGGGAAATTCTACTTGATACTGAATATCCCCCTGCAGGAGTTAGTAGCTCATACATAAGCCCACTTCTTGTACTTCTTCCTTTCTTTCCTAGACAGGCCCCAAAATCTTTACAGGTCATTGTTCTAGTACTTAAAAGACTTGTAACATATTTCAGTTTCATTTCTGTTGTTGTAAATGATACCCTGACAAGAAAAGTAACAAGTAAATAATAAAGGACTTATTTTAGCTCACAATTATAGATTACAGTCCATCACTACAGAAAAAACACAATTGTAACTTGAGGCAGCTAATCACATAACATCCATAGCCAAGGACACCAAAAAACAAATGTCCATTTGCCCGAGTATACGCTGGGTTGCTTATACTCTGCTTGAATTTTCCACTTAAACTGTTCATAAACTCTTCTGGCTGTATTTTGTGTCAATTAGCCACAAGACAGGGACATTTTTTAAAAAGGAACCTCAATAGAGAAAATGCCTCCACTAGACTAGAGTATACAGAGGCCTATAGGGAATCTTTTGTATTAATGCTTGATATAGAAAGATCCAGCTCACTGGAGGCAAATCCCCTCCTCAGAAGATTGTCCAAAGTAGCAGTACAAAGCAGGCTGATCAAGCCATGCAAGCAAGCTAGTAAGTAGTACTCTTCCATTGCCTTTCTCCAGTTCCTACCTCTAGCTTCATGGCTTGAGTTCTTGCTCTGACTTCCATTCTTGATGAACTATAACTTTAAGCTGATAGAAGCCCTTTCCTTATGATATTTATCACAGTATTGGAAGCCTAACTAAAGAAAGGAACCCCTGTTTAGAGAATAATCCCATCACAGTGGGCTGGGGCTTTCTACCCCTGTTAACTTAAGATGATCCCTACAAACATGTCTTCAATCCAACTCAATATGGACAATTCCTCAGTGAGATTCTCTTCATAGGTAATTCTAGATTGTATGAGTTGATAGTTAAACCTAACCATCATATGACTTTATTTCATTATAATTAACTAATTAATTCTTCTTAGCCCATATCAGGACTACATCTACCCTAAAATCTGTCCCTGGTTCTTTTTGTTTGTTTGGTTTTCATTCTGCCTGTATGTCCCCATAGTATACTAAGATAGAATTATCAACACATTGTTCTGTCTTTGTTATGCTAAAGAAATTCTAAGATCCATGGATATGTACCATGTGACACTGTATCATGACATCTATCAAATTGCACCAGTGTTCAACACATATTTGGCTAGTGAATTTACAATGTACATGTGCTGTTATATCTTTTTAATAATAAAATATGAGGACAATATTTTGGGAGAGGTGTGGTTGTGTGTCTTTGTGTATATGTATATGTATGTATGTGTGTGTGTGTGTATGTGTGTGTGTGTGTGTGTGCATGTATTTGTGTGCTTGTATGTGTGAAGGTCAATAACTAACTTCAAACGTTGTTTCTTACTTGTTCACAACTTTGTTCTCTCTTTGCCTATTTGGATAGGCTGTCTGCCCAATGAGATTTAAGTCTCTGCCTATTTTCTCATGCTCTCCATGAGGATTAAAAGAGTGCATAACCTACCTGGCCTTCATATGATCTGCAGATAATACTCTGGTCCTCATACTTAAAAAGCAAGCAGTTTACTAATTGCGATATCCTCCAGCACAAAGAGAGAGTTTATTACATTATATATTCCAAGATTCAGAAAGTGATATAATATGAGATCTAGGTTCAATCCATCTTCACCAAACAATTAGTCACTAATTTACAGTTATGCGTCAACAAGTATAGTTTTCACCAAAGATCAAAGCCATTGACAAATCCATCAGCCTTTGTCCCCACAGCAGGCACTGAAGTCTTTGTGTGATCATAGATGAGTAGAGTCATGTTGCACATGTTACAAAATTTGGAGTTTTAACAGAGCTGTAGACTTGACAAATATTACTGTCATTCAAGCAACACAAACAGATTTGTTAGAATAAAAAAAAGATTTCTTAAAAAACATATAAATCATACCCCTGGAGGGACTGTAGGTGTGGCTGCAATGTCAAAAAGTGCATCAGTAGGTATCAGAGAGGAAAGAGGCTATTTTTATGCTCAGTGTTCTGACCAGTGGAAATCTAAATGATTAGTAGCTTGATACTCCCTGAAAAATAAAAAAAGGAGAACAAACATGAGACAACCACCAGCCCAGCAGCAGGGGTCCTAGACAGGCAGCTAGAGTGAGAGGACCACTAGTTCATCAATGTATAGACCTGGACTAGCATTCAGAGCAGGAAAACAGCCAGAGACAAGAATAACCCACCTAGGACTGTGCAACTCAGTAAGAGTGAGCCTGAGACTACCTCACCTGACAACATGGACCGCTGATAGGAGTGAGCCCAAGAGGGCAACCATTTCCATACTGTGGTGCATGAACAGAGAGTTAGCCTGAGATGACCAGCAGGCAGGAACTTCACAGGGTGGATGGACAGACCCTGCCAAATATGGCACTTTCCATGTGCTATAATGCATGAGCAGGGGACAGCACTCCTGAGACCACTCCTGAGATGATCCCAGACACTCAAAGACCCCCAAGTGTCACTAAGAGGAGCAAGTAAGTGGTAGACAAATAGAAGAGAAGGAAAAGCAGAAAGATGTGTACACAATGTAGGGGGCAGAACTGTAGAATAAATGGTAATGAGGAACAGCATGATGTGAGTAGCTGGTGATGCCACCTGGGACCATGGTTGGGTTTTGACATGTGCTGGCACTAGAGGCCACTTCTGGGTCAGTGGCCCAGCAACAAGAGGGTCTACTACCATAGAACTCCAGGCAGACATCCCTTGTGTTGGCTGATTACCCAGAGGCAGGTTGACACCTGAGGGCTATGCAGAAGTTATCTTACTCATGTACCCCTACCCCGGGCACTGTGGGAGAGCTAGTCTTAGGCTTGAGACCAGAGATAGCCAGCTGCAGGGCTTAAGAGAATGGGCCCTGTACTTCATCTAGGTAGCATATTAGAGATGACCCGAATGGCCTGGGCACAGATGAGCAGCCCCAAGTGCATTGGAGTGAGAGAGTTGGCTGTGTCCCTTGTTGGTTTTGGCACTGGATGGACCAGCTGAGGCAGGACAGGAGATCTTGCCCCGGTGATGTGGGTGGCGAAGAGCTGGTGGGTTGACCAGCTCAGATATCTTTCATGTCGAGATCCAGGGCTTTAAGTAGGCACATTCCAATATCTGCCTTATGGATGAACTGAAGGAGTACATGAAAGGCTTGTCCTAGCGATCCAAAACTATAGGATCTCCAGGACACTGGGCAACAACATGATAACTGAGAAGAGTCCAGTGAGGATCCAATATAGGTAGTATAACAGAAGCCAGAGGTCTCGTTCCAGGCCAAAAAGTTATTATAATGAAAATTTGCAAGCCAAAACATATGGATAAAAATGTATACTCTGGGACACGCTATGACATACTAAAGCTTACTTACACAACAGGAATTTTTTTCTCCCTGTTGGAGGGGAGGTTGCTAGGGTGGAGGATTGGTACAAGAGGAGGGCAAGATGAGTTGGACTGAAATGAATGATGAGAAATTTACTAAGAACCAATAAAGATTTTTTTTTAAAAAAAAATTAACCAACTTAGACATAAACATTTTTATCTAATACATCACACAATATTCCTATGTTCTGAGCAGCATGTGTGCATTGAATTATGCTACCTAGCTATGCTTAAAACCTCAGTGGCTCCCAACATTGTTCAAGACCCAGTAAAAGCTTGTCACCTTAGATGACTTCTGTCCCATGTGACTAATGCCCCATTCCAGGAATATGAAGGAACCATTCATCATGATCAAATGTAAAGTGTGCTTCAAATAATCACTAAGTTCAAGTCTAAAGAGTCAAGTTAGTCAAGTTCTAGAGAGAGAGAGAGGTGGAATATTTTATAATTTGATGTAAATTTGAGGTTATACTTGTATTCATGGAAGTCTCTCTGATATTCAGGAACACTTTTGAAGCAGAGGTACATAAGAATGTCACAATATGTACCTTATATAGTGAACACACAAGTTTCATATATTCTTCTTCTGAAATTAATTTTTATTGGATATTTTATTTACACTTCAGATGTTATCCCCTTTCCCCATTTCCTCCACCCAGAAACCTCCTATTCTATTGCCCCTCCTCCTGCTTCTATGAGGATGTGCACCCAATCACTCCCACCTCCCTGCCCTCGAATTCCCCCACACTTGGGCATCCAGCCTTCATGGGATCAGGGACTTCCTCTCCCACTTACGCTCAACAGTACCATCCTCCACTACATATACAGCTGGAGCCATGGGTCCTTCCCTAAGTGCTCCCAGGATGGTGATTTAGACCCTGGGAGCTCTGGTTGGTTGATATTGTTGCTCTCCCCATGGGGCAGCAAACCCCTTTAGGTCCTTCTGTCTTCTAACTCCTCCATTGGGAACCTAGTGATCAGTTCAATGGTTAGCTGTGAGCATCCACTTCTGTATATTTCAGGCTCTGGCAGACCTCTTAGGGTTGCAAGCTTTATATGTTCTTGATAAAACCTAATATCTCCATTGATAATATGCTTACCTGAAAAATTATGATGTTTTGAACCTATATTATGAATTTTGGTATCTTTCACCTGAATGCCAAATAGTATGTGTGGCTGTCATCAAAAATATGCTCATACTCATAGGAGGACAAACACATGAAAGAAGTCGTCCCTACAGTTTTTTCATGAATGTGAAAGGGGAATAATACCCAGACAGCATATGATCATTTCCCTTACTGCTGCTGACACTGAATCAGTGAGATGACTCAGTGAGCCATGGCATTTGCTACCATGAGCATCCACTTCTGCATGCCAATGACATGGTTCTGACCCTGGGACCTACATGGCAGAAGAGAAGAACAAACCAGTTCATGTTCTTCTCTGTCACATTTATTCTGTGGCAAACACATTGTCATACACATGTAGTCAATACTAACACAGACATACACACGAACACTAAATATAACATGTAAATATTTCACACACACACACACAAACACACACAGACACACACACACGCACACGCACACAACCCATAAAGCCTAGAAATAAACTGGGTAAATCTTGGCAGGGTTGCTTCAACTTAGTGCCTATTGAACTTTGGGAAAGTGACTTTGCTTACTGGCCACCCCCAAGGTGATTTCTATATGCTGGTATTCAGATACTCGTAATCGACTTAGTTAATTTTCTCATTGCTGTGACAAAATACATGACCAAACAACTTAAAGGAGGAAGAACTGTGTCTGGCACATATTTCAAGTTGGTACAGGCCGCAGTAGAGAAGAAGAAAAGGCTGCGGGGATGCATGTCAGGATTAGATTACTAACAGGCATTGGCTAACATCTTTACAGCTCCAGGATTGCTCCCTGAGGTAGAAGCTACTGGCCTCTTCAGTAGAGATCCTGATGGAAAAGTCTTATCTGGGAAATCTTGGGGGTCTCTATTGTATGCCACAAGAGTAAGCACAGCTTCACAATGTTTGAAAAAGGACTGGTGATCAACTTGTGTGTTTTCAGATAGAGATATGTTTTTCATAAAACTCACATCTTTAACTCTACTTACAGAACTGAATGCTATCTGCAGTTTCTATATGTTTCAGATAAGTTCATAATCTGTATTTGTTATTTCTTAGATTAGTGTGCGTGCGTGTGTGTGTGTGTGTGTGTGTGATGTATGTGTGTATGTCAAGGGATTCAGTTCCTATCCTGAAATACCTAGAATAGACTAGAATAGAGCAACTTTGGAAGGAAAAGGTTTGTTTTATTTTGAGCTTGTTGTAGTGCACCATTCAAGGAAGTTAAGGCAGAATCTCAAGGCAGGAACATGGAGTCAGGAACAGATGCAGAAGCCATGAAGGAGTATGGCTTGAAGGCTCCCTCCTCATGGCATATTCAGGATGCTTTATTATTCCACTTAATAGTAACTGCCATTAGATAACACCAACAATTGGCTGCCCACTTCCATCATTGTTAAAGATATGGCCCTATAAGATTTTCTGTAGGCCAAAATCACAGAGATACTGTATCTGTGAATTGAGGTTTCATCTTCTAAGATGATTCTAGATTGGGACAAGCTGACAATATCAGGCCAGCACAGTATGCTCATGTGCGCATATGATGGTCAGAGGATAACCTGAGATGTCTGTTATCAACTTCTCACTTCTTTTATTTGGAATCTCTTGCTATTTTTCCACTGTATATGCCATAGGATAGCTGGCCTGTCTAAGGACAGAGTGTTCTGGATTTTATGTGGGCTCCGGAAATGTGAATTCAGTGCTTCATGGCAAAAGTACATTTAGCCATTTAAATATCTCTATCTCTCCAGCTCTAGTTTCTGCTATTTCATACAAGGATTCAGCTCTGCACATCTGCATATATTTTGTACCTCTCTCTTTCATTTACACACTCTAAACCCTTCAAAATTGTCTTGGTCTTACTTTTTGTACTTGCTTAGCTGCTTTATTTATTTATTTATTTATTTATTTATTATTTATTTATTTATTTATTTATTTATGTATTGTTGCTATTTTTACAAATTTGTTCTTTTATTGCTTTTGTCTTTGTTTTGGTGTATGTTTACTTATATGTTTGACTCTTTTTTTTTTTTTTAGTATGAGTTTAAACTATTGTTAGATCTTTAGTTGAGTTGTGTTACATTAGGGAAAGCATGCCTAATATTTCTAGCATTCCTTTATCTGCATTTTAGCTTGATCTAGCATGCCCCAAAGGACATGTGCCATGAGATTTGAAATGTATAACAGTGCTTTTATAGTGTCTTGTGAGAACAGGACAGAGCACAGGGTAAAGTCTCACAGATATGAGATTTTGTTGAATTTTCTGACACTGGTTGCAAATCATAGGAGGTAAAAATTAGCTAATACATTCACTGTAAAAAAAATACCCCAAAGAAGAGGATATAATTTCCTCCTTGCCTAAAGGCCAGAGGTGTCTTTGTGCTTCTGAGTGGATTTATTTATTTATTTATTTATTTATTTATTTATTTTGTCTGAGGACAGACACACCAACTTTCTTCAGACAGAGTGTTAGTGTAGTAATGGAGGGTAATTAAAGTAAAAGTAGAACTCTGTAAGTTTGAGG